CTCCCCCCCCGTCCACTTCCTTAGACCCCATACTGGCAGCTGAAGCGGTCATGGTGAATTAAGTCTCACTTGAATCTTGATGCGTGTGTCACAAGTCATTCTTCCCCTACGTCATCGCCCACCGAATGGAAAGGACGTATCACCTGCTTCTCTGTGGACGATAGGACAGCCTCCTCCTTCAGAAGAAGAGTGCTTCACGGCCTTCACTTACTTCTAGCTTTTCTCGTCCCTCGAATCTTCCCCACCTGCTTGTCGATCGAATGCACCAACGGATCACCTGTTTCTCCTTTGAGAATTTGAGTTTGAAATCCCAGTTCGGAAACCCAAAGGGTCCTCTACGCAAAAACTGTCCTTGACGCCAAGAAAAACTGCCTCCTCCTCCATCCACAAGAATCTTCCTTCTGCCACTTGGAATTTGAAAAGGGCTCATCGCGCGACGTTTCTCGTTGACGTTGGAACATCCTCCTCCTCCTCCTCCTCCTCCTCCTCCTCCTCACTCGCTGAGTCGCTGTCTGTGCGACATTGAGAGGGACCGGTGCTATATCGCACGCAAACACACAGTAAGAAAGAGAACGAATGGAGAATAACCCAAGGACAGGTAGCAGCTCCTTCTCACTCGCTGTTTGTGGCTGACGGTGGAGCATCCTCCTCCTCCTCCTCCTCCTACTCGAGAAGACTAAGGTTAACTTGATATTCTTGCCTTCCTCGTCGCTTTTGGTCTATATGATTTCCGGTCGAATGGAAGTCCCAACAGAAGGAAGGAAGGAAGGAAGGAAGGAAGGAAGGAAGGAAGGACTGCCACGAATCCAATGCGGCTTCGAGATGGCGGTGCCACGTATTCCACAAAAGGCTGTCGGGTTCCATCGGACTCATGCTCATTGCTCATTGCTCACCATCGCGGTATCCATGTGCCTACCCAGTAGGACGTGAGGTAGGGTTTCGCTTCTTTAGCCGAGAGAGACTTGGACCACCACACGCGCTTAGAGCGATTGGCACCAGGGCCGTAGCACTGGTACTCTGCGAAGAAAACCTTCTTCCTTCTGCTGGGATCGTCCCAATCGAACCAACCTTGGGGCTTGATGACATTGGCCAGGTAGACCTTCGCGAATACGGTGAGCGCCTTCGGTCCCCACGCCCTTCCAAGGAAGCTCCCCAGGTAGATGTCTTTTGCACCAGACTCCCCGAGTACTTTGCCCCCAAGGAACACAAATCCTGTGTCATCAGAAACTCCAGCTGCACCTCCCTTCTGCGCAGAGATCGAGCCCGGGCCACGAGTGTACAAAATGCAGTTGCGGAAGAGCGCTTTGGCGCTCCCGCAAATGAAATCGATGCTCCCGTGGATCCAGCAGTCCTTGTAGAATTGCCTCCCTTTATGCGCATACAAAGTCTACAACCGCCAACGCCAGGGGAATGGTGCAAATCAACAGACGGAGAAGCAACAGAGTTAGCGGTGAGGGAAAAAAAGGAACTACAGAACACACACACACACACACACACACACACAGAGTCGGGGTAACTTCCGTAGAGTCACAAAAACGAGTTATAATTGCACTATGGGGCAAGATACAGTTTGCAATTGCCAATTGCACTTCGGGCACCCTACCTGGCCGAAAAACTGGGTTGTATACATTGCCCAAACTGCAATTGCAAACTGTATCTTGGCCCATACTGCAATTACAACTCGTTTTTGTGACTCCGGCATAGATTCCCCTTTTGGTATTGTGCCCTGCTGAGCACCTTCAAGCAGTGCCAATTAGTCGGGCATTCCTCGGTTGGAGGGAGGGCCTGCAGCACTCTCAAGGGGGTCGGCTCACTTCGGGATGTCTGCGTTTTTGTTCATCTTGGTGACTCTCTGGCTTAGCGGGAACCAAGTTCAACCAACAGTCTGTGGGGTTCACTCGTAATGTGAGTAGGTGATGTGCTGCGTCACTCCCTGTTGGATGTGTAGACTGCCTCAAACGCACCCGCAGTGACCCGCTTGCTTTGCGTGTCATGCTTTGCAAGGTGCTCTGTTCACGAATCACAATGTCATGTGGCTGTGTTGTTGGTATTGCCTTGTGCTTTGCTACTCTGCTGCCTCACCGCCCATTGGCATGCCATGCCTTCTGTGATGACTGTCCTTTCCTTGTGTTTCGTGTATTTCAGCTGCTTTGTTGGTGTTGCCTTGTGCTTCACTGCGCTGTTGCAGTGCTGCACGTCCGCTTGCCCTGTCCTCCATGCCGTTGCTTTGCGGTTATGCATTCGTGTTGGCTCTTCCTGTATAGTCTACCTTCAACAAGTGTTAACCGTCCAAGGGTTCATGACCCAAACCGGGCTTTCTGCGCAGACTGTTGAGGGTTCAGCCTCCTGATGAGTTAGGGCAACTCTGACGAAACAATCTTGTTATCATCACTTGTTTTTTCCCCTTTTTTTGAACTTGTTATTTGTTCCGCTCTTCCATCTTTTGTTTTTTGGCCTCCTTCTTCAGGCACTTGTAGTCTTGTACTTGGTGAAGGTGGTGTTGCATTGTTGCTAGCTTGCCCACCTGGCACACGCCTGCCTCTTGCCCACCAGCCTATGCGTCTTGCTAACTCCTTGCGGTTCAATGCTTGGTCGCCTGGCTACTACCCCTCACCTCTCGGGGACAAAAGCAACCGAAAATGGAACGGGGATTATACAATTTTTTTTAACAAACACGGTTTTTATTTTTATTTTTTTTATAAAAGCTACACTCTTCTCTTAATTTCACCTCACAGGCTCACACTAACATGGTTTTTATTTTTATTTTTTTTATAAAAGCTACACTCTTCTCTCAATTTCACCTCACAGGCTCACACTACCTACCTACCACTACTCCTAATTGTAGGCATACGGGGAACCCCGTAACAGCCAGAACCGTGTTCACGAGAGAACATGCGGGGGCTGCTCCCGACCTGCAGGTGGGCGATACCGGCTAGGGGTTCATGACCTTGGGACACAGGACAACCCCACAAAAGATTTAAAAAAAAAAGGGTAGCATACCCAAATTCCTTTCTTTTTTACTGTGGACAAAGGGCCTCTACAGTGGCGAGAATGAATGCATCTGCCGCAGAAAGTGGTAAGATGCGCATCTATTGCTATTCATTGTAACGGATGCATCTTGCCCTCCTCCGCAGGAAGATACATTCTCTCCTTTTTCGTTTCTACAGTGGTATGGCGAGGCCCAACAGGCCAACACCACAACATTGTATTGCGAAAATATTAAGTGAGGCCAGGATCCTCAGAGGCTACTCCGGGTCTGGTCCCATTAGCAAAGAGGATTAGATTTAATTCGGGAATCTGGACCTGTTTGGCGGACAGATGCAGAAAAGCTGATCAATCTCAATTTTCCGCATCTTTCCACAAACACGTCCAGATTCAGGAACTAAATCCAATCCTCTTTGCTAATGGGACCACGCCCCGGAGTACAACATCAATTCCGAATTTCTTGGGGCCGGTCAGGTCAATCATCCTAGGTCAAGGCCATCGCACTTTGGAGACCTTAGGAGTTAGAGGTTGGATGCATTTTCACTATTTTTATTGTTTTCACAAAAAAATGAAAAAAACCTGCTGATTTATTTCGAAAACGCAAATATAAACAAAAAACCTGCTGGCTGCTGTAGACCAGAACAATCTGAGTGTTTCAGAAATTTTGAAAAAAATAAATAAAACAAGAACGTAAGACAGAAGGGTGTGAGAGGTAGTTTGCCCTCTTTTTCCTTTCCTTTCTTTCTTCTTCTTCCTGTCCTTTTTAAAAGGGCAACGGCAAAATGACCGGCCCCAGGCAGGCAATTCAGAATGATGTTGGGTAAATTGCAGAAATACCAGCGTGGACAAGAATCGTAGCAAAAATACAGGTCCACCCCTGTATGGCCACAAATATATCTGGAAAGTTGCAGAAATACCCTTTTTGCAAAGTTTCGAAGCAGATTTACGGGGCGCACGCACTTCCTTTCGTGACAGAGACGCTGTCCGTCTGGGTAAGACGGTGGTCCTCCGAAGCAAACATAATCATTAAATGGTCAATCAAGCGACAACCTCAAGAGAAGGAGAAAGTAAGAAGAGAAAGAGGAAAAGGAAGAGGAAGAAGAAGAAGAAGAAGAAGAAGAAGAAAGTAGGAAGGGGAAGAAGGAAAACCACAGTAAGCCAGAGAAGTCAGAGAAGAGATCACACGTCCAGATTTCCCGAAACGCGACCAAAATGGCTGTCAGAATTTCAACGTAAAGCACCGCCAAGTACATCGAATAATCATCGTGAATCTCATGGCGCAGCGACCCTACGCTGCGTTTCATCCGGCCGCCACACCGGAATCATCAGGGGTCTTAGTTCAATCGCGAAATTAAGGCAAGCACTCCGAGCGCCAGCAGGTCCTCTGTTGCAAAAGGAGGTACCGCCTGTCTGTTTGCCGCAAAAGAAAGAACAGGCGCTTAAATCTGCTTACAAACTTTTGAACAAGGGTATGTCTGCAACTTTGCAGGCATATTGGTCAGTGGTCACAATACACGGGCAGACCGGTATTTTTGCTACGGTACTTGTCTGAACGGGGGGTACATCTGCAATTTGCCCTTTTGATGCTCTTAAATTAATCTGAGGGTGGTATCTGGCTTCGAACTCGAGTCTGGATTTCAACAGTTTCGGGGTGTACCAACAGAGCCACCTTCTTCTCCCGAATACAACGTACGGTAATTACAGCTGTATCTGGGGTTCTTCTTTGTCACTCGTCTTGATCTCTTCTCCTTCTTATTCACTGCATTAAGTGCTTGCACTCATGCTTGTGTGTTGCTTCACTGTATCTGGGGTATCTTTCAGTCCGAATACAGCTATAATGACGGTACGTTGTATTCCGGGAAAGAAAGAAGTTAGCACCGTTGGTGTGCGAGAGGTAGTTTGTCACTCACATCTTGCAAAGAAGGAAAAAATGGGAAAAAGAAGAAAAAAAAATGGCGCAACTTGGGTAGAGTCACGAAAACAAGTTATACTTGCACTATGGCCCAAGGCCCCAAGATACAGTTTGCAATTGCACTTCAGGCGGGGCCACCCTACACCTGGCCAGAAAGCTGGGTTGTATACATTGCCCCAACTGCAGTTGGAAACGTTATCCTGGCCCATAGCGCAATTACAACTCTTTTCTTTTTGTGACTCCCACGTAGTTTCCCCAAGAGTGAAAACAACAACAAAAAACAGATGGGTGTGACAACAGTGAGAGCATTGAGAGGTAGCTTTTTTGTCACACTCACATCCTGCCAAGAAAATAGGGCGACCCTGTGTAAAGCCACCATGTCGCCAGACACCCGCAGTGCTACGGCTTGCATTCCCACGGCGCCGTTGGGAGCTCGAGGCGCAGTGTTCTGAATCGTCAGATCTTCTGCGGTGAAGTGATCAGCACTCACTGCAACGCTGGCAGACTCGAAGGTCCCAAGAGTCCCATACTCGTTGGTTCCACCTTTCCCTCCCTTTACGGGTGCTTTGTCCTTGGTCCGCGCATTATCACCCCATGTCAGAACGGTCTTCCCCACCCCGTCACCCCTGCATTTCCGCCACATTAGCACCACAACGTGAGTCCCCAACTCAGAACATTTTTTTATTAAGAAGAAAAAAGACAAAAACAGAAAAAAGACCGCAATTTTCGACCACATCAACACCACAACGTGAGTCCCCAACTCAGAACATTTTTTTATTAAGAAGAAAAAAAACAAAAACAGAAAAAAGAGCACAATTTTCGACCACATTAACACCACAACGTGAGTCCCCAACTCAGAACATTTTTTATTAAGAAGGAAAAAAAACAAAAACAGAAAAAAGACCGCAATTTTCGACCACATTAACACCACAACGTGAGTCCCCAACTCGGAACATTTTTTTATTAAGAAGAAAAAAAACAAAAACAGAAAAAAGAGCGCAACATGATTCCCAAATTCGAAATTGTACACGAAGGAAGAAAATTGACAATTTTTTTTTTTTTTCGGCGGCAAAAGTAAGGTCAGTATTTATGTTACCGGAGTGGAACCGGGCCGCTTGACTGGCCGAGCTAAAATTGAATTAAGAAACAAAGGAAAGGGAAAAAAACAAAATTCAGAAATTCTTTTTCTTATCCTATTATTTTATTTGGCGAGGAGTTTCAGTCCGACCGTCAGGCAAAAGTTGTTCTGTTTATTTTTCTCCACAACAGTGACAACACAGTTTTTCTCTCGGATTTTTTATTTTTTTTTTCCTTTCTTTTTTTTTTTTTTTTGTGTGTGTGTGTGTGTGTGCTTGTCGTAATTTCGGGTTTGTGTGTGTGTTCCTGCATACCTGTTGCTGAGGACAACATTAGGGCCGCACAAAATTTTCTCCTTTTTTTGAGGGTCGGACCGTTTTTCTTTTTCTGAAAATTTTTCTCCTTTTTTTTACGGGGGAACAAAATTATCCCAATGCCGCACAGAGCCGCAAACGGAATCATTGAGCCATTAATTAAAGGGGGTCAACTCACATTCTCGAGGACTTTTTTTTGTGTTTAGTTTTTTTTTTCCTTTTCTTTTCTTTTCTTGGGGGTCTGTTTCCAGTAGATGTAGATGTAGAAGATGAAGTCAGCGAGAGTGACGGGTAACAAGCACACAACCCGGGGCAAGGTCCCACTTGCGCAAATTAGGAGATTTCGAGATTTCGGCCGTCGATCTTTGCTATCTACGGTCAGTATCTCTAAATTTGTGCAAGTGGGACCTAGCCCCCGGTTAGCACGATGACCATAGATATGTGGATGAGCAATCTCTTTTTTTGTTGTGTTTTTTTTCTCGAAAATTAACGATCAAAAGATCACAACAAGAAAAAGGGGATGAGTACATTGAGTGGTATTTCCAGTGTGTCCACCCCCAATACCGTGATTTTCCCAACGGTGTTTAAAGAAGAAAAAAGGGAAAGATTATTCAATCTGTTCTTGCTGGGTTTACGAAGGGCATTCTATTTCTTCTTTCTTTTTTGGAGCCATGGTAGCCTTCTCTTCCTCTTTCTCTGTATCGTTCTAGTCTTACCGGATATCCCCAAGGACTGGAATTTTTTTTTGGGTATCAAGTTTAAACGTCGGGAAACTTCTGTATCTGGTCCGTTTTCATGAATTTCCCTTGTTGAAAATGGGCCACAGGTATTCTTGCTCAGTTTATCGTCCGGGGGAAGATTACACTAAGTATTGTTCTCTCCGATTGTATTGAATTCCCTTTGATCATTGGCGTTCTTTCTTTTTTGGAGAAAACACGGTTTCTTATTAAACGACACATTGGCGTTTAATGGGGTAGGTCTACCAGGCTACCAGCATTTGTTCCCCGCGGCAAATGTGCAAATTAGTGTGCGGATAACACACACACACACACACACACACACACACACACACACACACACACACACACACACAGGGGCAGACCCAGCCACCTGCAGGGTAGGGGTCTGCACCCACAGGCCCCAAATGCAGGTGCAGAGTCTGGAGACGCAGCAAAACTCACCCACCTGCTCCCGATTCAGAGCAGACTACACGTCTAATCTGCACTCGCCCTTTCCAAGGACACCAACGCCCTCCATGACGATGACTTCGCAGAGCAAATGCTCCCTCTTCCCATCTCCCAACTAGTACCTAGCCCAGCAGAACTATCACCCGCACGGCAGGGGTCCGCCCAAGGCCCCGCAAAACACACCCACCTCCTCACATATCTACATTGTAAACAGATCACATATCTACATTCTAAACAGAAAACGAGACAACACATAGAGAGCTTCGGCACAGACTGGCTGGGTGGGGACACTGGGGGGCAAGGGGGTTGGATCGCCAAGGTAAAATGGAAGGAAGGGGAGGAGGGGGAAGACGTAGAGGAAGGGAAATGGACTACCACCTAGTATGCTTCCAGGACTGGACAAACATCGACCCCTCCATCCCACTTCGGCCCCTCCCTTAGCTTTGCTGAACTTTTCCCGCCCCCTCCCTTGAGTCCCTTAGCTCTGCTTGAGATGGAAAAAGTCAATTGCATGGCCAGCTAAAAGCATGGTCGTAAAAAAGAAAAAAGAAAAAAAGATGTTCCCCTTTGTGAGTATGAGGCTACATGTAAATCGATAGGCGATTGGGGTTGGGAGGTCATGGCTTGAGGGTCATGCGCTCGCCGCTCGATGGAGCAAGTGTGCGACAAGTGCCGGTGCTGAGTTATTCGTGTGACAGTCTGTGTGCAAGGTATATAAAGTGCAGCCATGCAGGCCTTGATTCCACGTGTGCGACAAGTGTCGGTGCTGCGTTATTCGTGTGACAGTCTGTGTGCAAGGTATATATAGTGCAGACATGCAGGGCTTGATTCCACGTGTCCCCCCCCCCCACCAACACCCCCCCCTCTCCACTTTCGTACTGTGTGGTCCTCGCTCCAGTCCAACACACTACACCTCGCTCCACTGCAACATACTCTTCATGCATTTGGACGCTTCCTGGGCCAGGTGCATTCGGAGTCGTCCAACATTTCTTATGCATCCGGTCCAGAAAAAAAATCCAAATGCATGCAGACTGCTGTGTAGTGGAGCGAGTCCCCTGCGTCATCATGGCTGCAGTATTTGCGCTGCTCGTCTGTTGTTGCTCTCTTCAGTGTTCACACCAAGGATGCCGGCTCAAATCCGTGCGTAGTCACGCAGGTTATAGTACTGACCAAACCGCCCATGCACTTATCGGAATCCAAAAATAGACGTGGATCGCACCGCTACGTACTACGTACTACGTACTTAAACGTCTGACTGGGCCTTCGACACAACGGTCCAACTTCCAAATACGTCAACTCCCCAAAAAAAAAAAAAAAAAAAAAAAAACGGCGACGACCTCTACGTATCATCATTGAACTGACCGCCCCCCAGGCACTTTAGAATGATTTCATTCTTTTCAGTTTTTTAAGGTATCTGGATTCGAAGACGAGTCTGTATATCAACACCAAAGAGGTGTACGCCCGTCGGTAAATACGTAAACATTGTATAAAGGAACGATCACGACCACGGATTGGGGCCATCGACATAGCTTAGGATCCAAATTATGGGCTTAGACCTCAATTAGTAACACCCATCAACTGTAGAAAACAAATACAGACCCAAGTTCGATTCCAGATGCAACAAATGATGACCAGAATAAAATCATTAAAATCATTTAAATGATTGTGAATTACCTGGGGGGCGGGGCCTGGTCCAATTAGCAAAGAGGATTGAATGTCGGGGGAAAACTAGGAGGGAGTCACAGAAAAATGAGTTGTAGTTGCACTATGGACCAACTTGGCCAAGATACAGTTTCGAATTGCAGTTGGGGGAATGTATACAACCCAGCTTTCTGGCCAGATAAGGTGCCCGAAGTGCAATTGCAAACTGTATCTTGGCCCATGATATAAGTCGTTTTTTAAGTCGTTTTTGAATTCAATTCCTGAATCTGGGTGTGTTTTGTGCAGACTCTGCAGAGATGCACGAAAGCAGATCAATCTCAATTTTCTGCATCTTTCCACGGTTCAGGAATTCAATCAAATCCTCTATGCGAATGGAATCAGGCCCCCGGTCAGGTCAATGATGATGATATCTCAAAGCCGTCGCCCTTTCACCAAAAAGAAGAGGGGGGAAAAAATAAAAAAATGGTAAATATTTTAAAGCAACAATCAGGAAAGATTGGAGCCATCATAATTTGGGAGTGCTAACTGTCCTAGGGCTCCCAACTCTGGAAAAAAGAAAAAAAAAGAAAGGAAAAAAAAAAAAACTCCTACCTCTCTGGAAGGATCCTCGTATCATCTTCCTGGAGTAGGACGCCAGACGAAGCGAAGATTGATTTCCCTCAGTTCTTTTCTTTTTTTTTTCCGTTTTTACATTCAAAAATTAGCTCCGGCAGTGCTTTGCACTCACTGATGCGTAGCGTAACAGGGGAAAAAAAACAAAAAAAAAGTTGACGACAACAAAAACTTCATCGTGTATGTAACGAGCTTGACGGAAAGATCAACAACAGAGAAAAAAAAGTTGACGACAACAAAAACTCCATCATGTACGCAACGAGCTTGACGGAAAGATCAACAACAGGGAAAAAAAAAAACAAAAAAGGTTGACGACAACAAAAACTCCATCATGTATGTAACGAGCTTGACGGAAAGATCAACAACAGAGGGAAAAAAAAAAAAGTTGACGACAACAAAAAAAGTTAAAAAAAAACATCATGCTTGACGGAAAGATCAACGACAGTGCCAAAGCGCGGATGCACACCGATGAACAAGAACAGAGGAGGTCACCGCGGGACGTACTTAGAGTGAGTGTACACTACCAATATTTTGGGCTAGATACACACCACTGGTCCCCAACAGTCCGTCCGGATTTCGGTTAGCTTTTGAGCCTTTTGTCTACCAGGTCTAGGAAATGTACGAGCCACTACAGAAGCGCCCAAATTCATCCGAGTAGAAACGTTTCTACTCTAGTTTTTTTTCCACCTTGGATAGCTGGGCCAAGTACTTACTGGTGGCTTAAGCAGCTTGACTGCACGGGATTTGGGGTCTCGCTGTCGTCGTGATTCGTGC